GCATTTAAGGGACTCAGAGTAGAGCCGCTGCTCCTCCACGTCGAGAGGAGCCAGTTGAGGTGGCTCGGGTATCTGGTTAAGATGCATCCTGGACACCTCCCTGGTGAGGTGTTCCGGGCACGTCCCACCGGGAGGAGGCCCTGAGGAAGACCCAGGACACGCTGGAGGGACTGTGTCTCTCGGCTGGCCTGGGAACACCTTGGAGTTCCCCCGGAGGAGCTGGAAGAAGTGGCTGGGGAGAGGGAGGTCTGGGCCTCCCTTCTGAAGCTGCTGCCCCCACGACCCGACCCCGGATAGGCGGAAGAAAATGGATGGATGGATGGATTTAAGTTATTTTAGGGAGCCACGGTTAAAGTCTCAAAGCTCTTGATGAGTCTGTCGCGGGTCTATCGTTGCCTCGCTCTGAGGTACAGAGGTGGGGGAAGCCCCCCTCCTTCTCTCTGTTTTCTGAACCGAATCAGGCTTATACAGAACGGGTTTTCATTTAAAACAGTCCGAATCAAACGCCTACATAACACATCGCTGGAATTTATTGTATGTAGGAATTTAATGCATTACAAAAATTACACATGGACGGACAGAAAAAAAAGCGGCTTCCAAAACTGTCGCACCAGTTCTACAAAGTCTTTTTCTTTTATAGCACAGACAGTTTTTTCAAAGCACATGCGACATATATGTCGCACTGTACAGCCATTTCCAGTGGTCTGGAAATGTTCTTAGAGAAAACTACTGTACAGTGAGAAAAGCTGCACACCTTGTGAAAAAAATCATCCAAGTTATAAAACTATTCATTTAAGAATATAATAAATTCCTGTCTCCCCAAGGCCAGAAACTTGGAGGAAACACTGAACAGCATTATGTCGCTTCATATTTACCCAATTAAACACAGCGCTGATGTTAAATTCACAGTGGAGCTGTGTAAAACAGCTGACTGGCTGACAGAGCGCTGTTTTACTGTGGTGGAATTTTATAGGCTAAAATTTTCGTCACTAAGAACACACTCCTTTATTTTATGATGCATAACGTTTTTAAGAGATAACTCAATAAAAAAACAACTGAAATGGCTCTGAACCATGCTCATTTCTAAATAAAACTATAATTGAAGTGTCTGTGCTGAACAGACCTGCTCATGTTGCTCACTGACAGCCCTCTGTGGGAGGTGTGTGTGTGTGTGTGTGTGTGTGTGTGTGTGTGTGTGTGTGTGTGTGTGTGTGTGTGTGTGTGTG